TGGGGAATTCTGGGAGTTGACGTCCACACATCTTCGAGCTGCCAAGGTTGAGAAACACTGAACTAAAGTGTGAGGTCTTGTTGTCCAGTCCAACCAAAGGCCACCTTTGAGGGACACCTTCCTCCTGCACGGCCCCCAGTGCTGCATGTGCGGATTCACGCTCTCCAAGACAGCAGCCGTAGGCGGTGTTTCAAACCAAGGTGCCCCAAGGACAGAACGAAGAAGCAGACTGAAGAAATGTTGCCTTCCAGTTGCAACCCCCTTTCTCTCCCCTTCGTGGTCTTCTCTTTTTGGGGAAAGTTTGGCTCAGAAACGTGGCAGGGAGAAGCTGAATCTGAAGTCACCTTGGACGAGTCAACTCCCGGGATCTTCATGGCCACAATGTTTTCTTGACATCAGTTTTCTTGTCATTGTTTCCTTACGGAATTATTTTGCACTTTTCAGTTTTGCCCAGCGCTGGGTTTCCTGGTGGTTCCCCATCCAACCAGATTTAAAAAGGCCATCATTTGCACGGAGAAGAAATGTGCAAGGGTGAAGCTTGGCTGTCAGATGTGCATGGCTCCGAGTTTGTATTTTTTTTTAAATTTCTTAGATTCATACCCTGCCTTTCATTGAGGGTTTCAAGGCGATGTACATAGTGCGTCCTTCTCCATTCCCCTCCCCCAGCAACAGCCCTGTGAGGTAGGTTGGGCTGCCTGAGGAACCTTTCTGGAAAAAGTTAAAAGTTTGCTGGTTCTGTGGTAGAGCTCCGTATATCCTTTGAAAGAGGCCCCTCAAACTACCCCCCTGGGTCCTTTGAGTGGGGCAGATTGAAGCTAACCCACCAATTGCTCCTTCCTGTCACTGCGCAACTATTCCTCTTCCTGCCGCCACCCCCCCAGTGACGCAGGTTGGCCGGGCACACCTGTCCGGGGGAAACAGCCCAGGTCACCTTTTGGAGCAGCCCCAGGCCTGGAAGCCACCAGCCGCTGCCGGGATCCCGAAAGGGGTGGTGGCCTTCCTGGCGCTGCATCTGAGTAAGTACCTTGTATGTTATTGATTAAATTTTACTCGCTTATTGAACTAACTTTTAATAAAGCTTTTAGAACTTTGAACTGACTTACGTTCTGGTGTGTCCGTCTCCCATGTTTAACGTGGTTTTTCCCTGACACTGGTATTATTATTACTGCTGTTGTTGTTTCTGTTGTTATTTACATACAGATAGTTCTCGTTGGATTGATATTTTTGACTGCTGGAAGGATCGGATAGTCAAAAGTACCAAATCCAGCCAGAACTATTTGGCATTATTAACTATATGTTGTCATTATTAATTATATGTTATTATTATTGAGTATATGTTGTTATTATTACTATAAACTATCTGGTGTTATTTTTATTTATTTATTTATTTTTCAAATTTATATATGCCGCCCATCTCACCATAGAAGTGATTCTTCTTCTTATTAATTATCCGGTTACTGTACTATACTATAATTTACTTCAAACTATTATTTTATTATATATTATAATATCATTGAATAAAACGTTATTCATTATCTGGTGTTATTATCTACAATTATTAACTGTTTGGTACTGTATTATACCTACGTGGCCTCGAAGAGTCGACACTGGCTTGATGGCACGTAATCAATCCATCCTTGTTAACAACCGTTATTAACTAGCTATAATTCCGACTTGGGTGCTGACAGCCGCCTTCCCGCCACGGAGAGGCAGCGCGTCCGGGACGGAGGCGGGCCCGAGGCCAGAGGCTCCTCAGCGCGGAGCTTCCGCCGGAGTTTCGAAGGCAAGTGGACTTCCCTCGAGTGGGTCTCCTCGTCCGGGCCGCCGAAGTCCCGTGTCAGGCGCGGCCAATCAGACCGACTAAAGCGGGGAGACTCTGGGTGAAGGGGCGCTGCAGGAACGGGGTTGGCCTCAGCCCCTCCCCGTGGCCCTCTGGCCTTGCGGGCCCATCCGGGGGCCTTTGCTGAAGGCCCGTTAGAGCCAAGGGAGAAGTGGAACCAGTTAGCCGGGAAGCGAGACCCAGCCGTGTGTGACTCCGCCGGCCCCAACAAGGTAAGAAACTCCTCCTCAAGCCAGTAACTAACGGCGGGAGGGAACCGCTCCGCGGGGCGGCTCTTGCCGTCCTGCGCCGTCTCGCTGAAGAGGGCGCCGGGGCTGGTTTTTCTGAGACCGCCCAGCAGGAAGGGCCAGTCAAAGGCGCCCCGTTTCACTACGGAGAGATCGGCCGAGGGCGACCAGTGCCCCTTGTACAGTAAGTAGGCTTGGGAATTGACTTTCCTCGTGGTCTCCCATCCAAGGACTAACCAAGCCTGGCCCCAGGTTGCAGCTGCTTCTCTCTCTGAGCGGAAGTACCGGAGCCCACCAGCTTCACGCGACCCGCCCCGGGCTGCAGCGGAGCATCCCGCTTACCCATTTCAGACCCGAGTGC